CACACACAAATACATAAACAATTGAAATATTTCGATTTAACCATACTGTATCTTTACTGTACTGTATATGTGTGATACATACATTTCTAAGGCCTCTAAATGATCATCATGATCAAAACTTTGCTGAAAACCCTGTTGCGCACAATCTACTCCATGCTTTCTGTCATCTGATTGATAGTTTAAACTTTTTAGCAAGTAAAAGTCCTATTAGTATAATTGTAGAAACGTCCTCCTTCAGCTTGTGCTTCACTTTAATTTTATAAAGTAAACATAAGAATAACTTACTGGTTTGGAGCGACTAAGCTTTACCTGATTATCCAGACATGACTTTTTAGAAAAATCAGTGAGTATCAAATATGATCATCAGGCTTTTGAGGAACTTGTATATGCTTATCACTCAATCGTCATTGTATTGCATTGTATTACATGTTTTGATTATTAAACTAAGCGTTTAAATTTAATCTTACTAAGACATATTATTGGTGATATAGAGTGACAACTGATAATGATATCATTTTATGCAAGTATCTGCATATACTGTTATAAAGAACTAATTGATATACATTACAATCAGAATTTCATACTTTTTGTTCATATAAATATCAGCATCTGCAGCAAATTGCATATTTTTCTCAGTTTGGGTCTCTGAATAAAACTGAGGTGTTTTTCCCTCCATATTCTCACTATCAGACAATATGAGCCATAAAAGCCTGATTTATCAAATATGATACTAAATAAAAAAAACATATGCATTTTTTTTTTCAAGATATTTCATGTCAGGCTTTAGAGGGTTAATATATTCATATTTAAACTGACTACATTTACTTTCTTAACAACAACACATTGCTGTTCTCATTGTGAGTCTGCGCACGTTATGCTAAAAATTGTCTGTTATGCAATCTTTCATCAGAATGTAATAACCTGCTTTCCCTCTGAAATGACTTTCCTTTTCAGCTGATGTCATCAAGACCTCTTATTTTTCAACCTCCTGTCACAAAGAAACAATTTTCACCACCAGCTGTATGAAATGTCAGCCTACATGTTGTTCCTCTCTGAATACCCCTTCTCACTTGGAAATTCATCGCATTACAGAAGTGAAATGGACTGTGAATGTCGTTTCTTTTGACTATAAAAGCTACGAGACTCTCTTGCCCGTTCCCCCGGCACACACACCGTTCTGGGTGAGTTTGGTGGAGCAGACGAGTGTTGCGATGGTTAACGTGTCTCTGGAGCTGACGGACAGGCCGCCCACACTGCTGGAGCTGCGCATCAGCGTCGCCGTCTTGTGGCTGTCAGAGTGACTGCGCTCGGACGGCAGGGACAGATACGAGCTGACCTCCTCCATGCGCTTACTGTCACCCTACAGAAAGAAGGAAAACCCATGCAGTCCATATGTGTTTGAGAATGTGTGAATTAACTGATTAGTTTACCTGTCGTCCACCATATTATCAGACAAAGGTTTACTTACATGTACTGTAAAGTCTACACTGACTGATTGTTTTCCGATTCAAATATCTAAATATTCTTACATCAAAATCAAATTACTTGAGAAACAAAATGACTTAAAATATTAAATCTTGTTTGAGTAAAAAATATATATAGATGCATGAAACAAGAAAAAATATGTCAGTGTGGCACAAAAGACTTAAACTGGTTTAAAGAATTAAAAGGGAAAACAAATTATGTTTCCTACCCCACTGACAGACATTGTTTCTTTTTTTAAGAAAAAACACTTCTTAATATGTGTAATTTTCCTTCACCAGTAAATTTATCTTGATTTAAAAAACGTTTAGATATTTGTATGGGGGTAAAAAAGTGACAAAAATACTAAGAAAACCATTTTGCAGTGTATGGAAGACTTTTGTATTTGGGTAGTTTGTAACTTAATTTGGACAGAATTGTAGGTAATACATTTTGTTGTTGGGACACTTAAAGGTATTCTTTCCTAAATGAACATGCATAACATTAATAAGGACATCAACATTCGCTCCGAGATAAATTTCTGCTTTCCAGAAATTAATGCTAATAACTATGAAAGTTTTAGACCTAAAATAGAAAAAAAGAATCAAATGAAACCTTTAAAAATAAGTTATGAAAAATTCTATAATGATTTTTCTAGCTACATTAAACACTTTGGCAAATTATGTTAAAATTTACAGTGCTACAAAATGGACAACGAGCTTAAAAAAATCAAAATGACTGACATTGTCTTATTTTAATTTGTTTTCTCGACAACTGTCATTTTTATTGAATAATCAGGGTTCCCAAGGTTGTAGAAGACTGACAAGTCATGCAAAATCATGGAGTGTAAAACCTGTACCTGTACCTTTAAGATTTTAATGTGTAAATGACTTATGATCTACATTGCAGTTGTAAATGCTAAATGAGGCTTCTCTTTCAATTTAATTCTGACTCAGACGTTACATTTTTTAATCTCCTTACTGCATCTTTTCAACTAAAATTATTGTTTTAAAAATAAATGTTAGATTAAAATGTTTTGTCCAATCAACTAAAAAAAATATATATAAATATTACTAAATCAAATATTACTAAAAATATTACTAAATCAATTTCCACCCATTTTTGCCTTTATTGTGTATGTACAGTATGTGTTTCTGACCTTAAAGACAGTGAGCTCATGTATGCCATCTCTCAGAACGGTCCCGTCTTCCTTCATTAGACGCACAAACGCCATCGCAAAGTTTCTTTCACTCTTGTCCTTCGCTGCATAACACAAATTACACATTCATTCATATCTAAATTAATTTCCAGTACCATTCAGCATTATAGTTGGTAGGCTTTTAATGCATGCTATAATTCGATAGCCAACATAAAATAAAAACACTGATGACTCAAACCTCATTTCTAGAATGAGGATTTAGAAACAAATGTGTTGTTTTTCAATCCGCGAAACTCTGGATCCGATTTTAGTCGTTTTTGAGATTGGGCCAGAAACCCAGTTTGCATACATCTACTTTAGTATGCACTGCAAAACTGCTGATCATAAAGTATATACTTTTGAATATGTGGCAAGACAGGTCAGAGGTATTGGGACATGCTAACGAGTTATGCCATTTTAAAGGGGTCATATGATGCTTTTTTAAAGATCATTATTT